GCTTATTATGTATGGTAGGGCGGGGCACAGCAATCCAATTTGACTTTAATTATTGGGTGAAAAACAAACCAATTACATCGCAATAAACAACACATACCAAACAAACAACTATCTGACTATGTTCATCATAACTCCCAGATATTCCATCATGGTAAAAATATGTTTTTTGCTTGTTTTCAAAAATTTGTTAAGTGTTTTCTTACGCCAGAGGGCAAAAAGATCCACATTTTATTTTTAATTTCAGAAATATGTTATAGAATAATATATACATCATTGAATTAATGCAATGCAGTTTAATTATCAGGTTGAACAACAGAGTTAAAAATCATAATTCAAATACTCATTTTTTAAAATTTTATTGATTACTACTTTCTAATCTCGTTTTGGTAGTTATTTTTGTTTAATTTATTATAATCAATCTTATTGTTACTTGAAATACTATAATTACAAATGAGATTAACACAAGTCCTATTTAAAATACATATTTTATGGGCACATTTTTATAATAACTAATATTTTAGTTTATCTTTTGTAAAATTGCTTTTTTAACTTATTTTACATTTTTATTAACTAGTTTCTATTTGTTTACACCTTGTCAGAATAAAGGTTTAGGTGGTGTTTTTCATGCCAACCACCATATGCAAGCTATTAAATAAATAATAAATACATCATTGAATTAATGCGATGCTGTTTAATTATCAGGTTGAACAACAAAATTAAAAATCATAATTTAAATACCCACTTTTAAACATTTTATCATCTGTTACTACTTTATGAATCTCGATTTAGTAGTTATTTTTGTTTAATTTATTATAATCAATTTTATTGTTTCTTGTAATTTAATAATCACAAACGAGATTAACACAAGTTCTATTTAAAATACATGTTTTATGAGCACATTTTTTATAATCAATAATAATTTATCTTGTGTAAAATTGCTTTTTTAACTTATTTTACATTCTTATTAACTAGTTTCTATTTGCTCACACCTTGCCAGAATAAAGGTTTAGGTGGTGTTTTTCACGCCGAACCATATGCAAGCTATTCTAGATTTTATATAAAAAAATATAGATTCTAGCTTAAAAATAACATCACACCTTGTTCCATAAGGAAAAAGAATATATTAGAAATTTTATTCAGGTAACCTAAACTAAACAACCATGCTCAAAAACAAAAAGGATCAATAAAAAATACTTTTGTCACAAAATTGAAAAGTGTCTGTTAAAGTCATAGTAGCGAAGTCGCCCGATTTAAGACGAAGGCTGGCTACACATCTTTTACCCTCTACATTCAAATATTGCAGATCAATACTAGTGTAATATTGTAAAGGAAAAAAAATTTCAATTTACTGGTAATTGAGATAATGGGGGTGGACCTTTTTAAATGCGAACCTTTAAGCCTATATAAATATATATGCACGTACTGTATTCAGTACGAAGTTCTACTACAAGATATTTTTTGAGTAGAAATAATACTACAAATCGTGATAATAAATATTTTTTCAATAATTCACATCATTTTTTAAATGATTTTTTATTTTTATAAATATATATATATATATATATATATATATATACTTATAGTGGACAAAATTGTAAAAAGATTTTTAATAAATATATAGTTAATTATAGATTTTGAATAATATTGTAAAATAAAAATTCTATTCAATTCTATTCTCAATATTTTGTTGAATAATATTGCAACAAACCAAATGATAAAACGTTCAATTTAGTAAAGTGTTTCAAATCCACAATTGATTTTCATTGTAAATTAAAATGCACGATCTCTAAATATGATAACCAAAAATAATATTTCTTAGTAACAAATGATAATCTTACTTTCAAATTTCGGAAACTTGCAGAAGCTTTCGGCGTTAAACTTGCGGCACGTCGCATGCTAATTCTCAGCTACAGTGTTTATTTGCATATCGTGCCCGCCCCACGAAATATCTTTTCTCTTTTCTCTTTTTCCCTTAGAATATTCGAAGTTGTTCCATGGATCGTAATAGCGACGCCGTAATGAAAGAAATCAAAATACTTTTAAAAACATCCCCTTCAGCAGGAAGAAAAGTCCACACGAAAGGGTTGACAAACTTTCCGGCTAAAAGTGATTTCAAACAAAATGTTGCGACCACGCTATCGTGGAGAACGAGTAAATACGACCACGATAATATTTACATATTTTTCAGCTGTTAACACGAAATGTTTGGAACTTAGATTCGATGTAAAAAGTAATAAATGAGTCATTATTTTTTTACTCTATTTCTTTATTAAAATATCAATATCAGAAGCAATGATTTCTTTCTACAATATAAAATTTTCAACAAATAAAATATATTTTCTTATCAAAAATTATGTGAAATACGCTTATAATGAAGTACAATATTAATTTATAAAAAATCACGGTACATTCTCCCACAGGGAACATTATTTAACCATTTCGCGGCAGTGACACTGCTATACGAGACGGAAAACCACTCATAAATGTTAAAAAAAATATTTTAAGGTTTTCTAATTAATATCAATAAAAATCTATTTAAAATGAAAAAACACTGAGTGTTTACCACAATAATTAATTAGAATCCTCCATTATTCAGCTCAGAGTGATAAATCTTGAAGCAAAAGTTGACTAACGTGATGTTGTCTAAAATGTACTCATTATTATCCATTATAATTCTTCACATTGTTATTATCTATTTAAATAAATGAAATTAACCCTATCATCTATAAAAATATGTAAAAAACAACCAATGAAAGAAATTATTGTATTGTAGATATTAATACTTGATAATTTGTCGTGTTAATTTCACCCCGTGTTATATAAACTTAATAATTCTTACCTGCTGAAGTTAACTTTTATCGACTTTTCCACTTGTTCTTCTAATGTCAATAATGATTAAAAAATTTCAGACATTTTAACATCTTCTCTCCGCATAAGTTATTCAGTAGGTTTATTTATAATTCCCATTGATTCGCTGCGTTGGCTCGGCCATATATTTTCAGTGTTACCTGTAGGAAGTTTCCAAGATAGTTCTAAGACAGAGATAGAGTCAAATGCTTCGGAACCAATTTAAAGTAATAAAATCCGGCTAATGCCCTATAAACTTCACCTTACATACCAACATACATAACTTCATGAATTCGCATGTGTAAAGTCCGTGGGAATGTTCACTAACACACCGAAAAATTTACGAAATTGAACTTCTACGGTATTTGGCACGACCTGATACTGATTTTATTCTACTGCACTTTGGAAATTGTATTTGAAGTTTGTGTTAATGATTTTTTGGAAAAAAATTAAATTATTTTCCACTGATGTTAATAGGAATCGAGGCGATAAGAATTAGAAACAAATTACCAAATAAGAGGATAATATAAAAATGCTAGTTTTTATCAATTTATGTCAAATAATCACAGTATGTTTTTAGTAAATAATATATGTTTAGCATCTTTATTTGCAATGAATAATTTAACAAAAAATCAAAATGAATTATTATTAAATATATCAATAAATGTATTTATTTATTTCAAATAACTTGCTGTATACATCTGAAAAACGATAGCTATCATTAATTCTATTTACTTCTTTCTATCGTTTTTTTTAATTACAGTCTTATAATTATAAAGACCTTCGTATCAAATAGAATTGACACACCATTTTTTCTTATTTTTCAATCGGATTTAATTAAATAGAATAATTTTAACTAAACTATTAATATCATATATAATTATATATATACTCTATAATTTGGAATCGTCAGAATAAATATAAAAATTGTATTATGAGATATCGCCAAATACATGCTTTAGGTTATATGAAGTTTTGGTGAAAAATTTCAAAGATTGTAGTATTAGTAATTTGAGAAAAATGCATTAATTTATTATAAACTAATTTGAAAATAGTCATAATTAATGAAAATTTAAATATTAACTTCTCGTAGGGTAAGTTATAGTAATTGCAAAAAAATCGAAAAAGACAGTTTTCATACATCTTTACATTTCAAAGGTTTCTGAACATTTTAGCACACCTTACAAAATTAGCAAAAAATGGATGGATGTGTTTAGGGATGTATGTGTGTATGTGCGGATACAAATTTTCGTCGACGATTTTGGGAACATGGATCAACCGATTTAAATGATTCGAAAAACAGTCGATTCCTATTGATACGTAAATTTTAAGAGACGTGCCAGAGAGTTTTTGACAATGGCAGACTCAGCCGTTTTGGAGATACGGTGCAAAAAGTGCAAATATGGCAGTAGTTCTTTTGTACTGGTATAATTGTTATATAAATTAACATATGTAGGGTTTCCATTTGAAGGAAGTTAGTCGCATACTTCATCATATTTTTTGTTAATCGTATTATGAATAAAATTTATACACTTTAACGATACCCTATAACAATCAAGATTGTCCTCCCTATGAGACGGCAGCTGAATGGCAAAGTTAAGCCAGAATTTCTTGTAGAATTTTTCCAAACAAAAGATAACATGTCTCTCAGAAAGAGGACATTGTGGAACTTTTCGATAACAACAAACACAAAACATACAAAACAAACACGAACAGAACTGCGATATAACGACAGGAAGTTTCTTGCTGTGTACGTGTCCACTATCGGAAACTCTCCGATACTAAATAAGACTTGACAATGACTAATTAATGCAAAGGCACGGAAACAGACCAGAGTTTGGCGGGTTCTGGATGTTCATTACTTTGTGAGTAGGTCGATATTTAGTTTAAACGAAGCAATTGTTCGGTAGTTTTACAGCTGGACTAAATTGGCAAAACATTTGGCATTTATACCTGTGTTTGATAGTATTCTCATAGAGAAGGTTATATATCTCAACCAAAGATGAAATTAGAATCATATTCATTTTTTAATATTTTTACATTCGAACATATTGAAATACTCATAATATATTTATATGTACTCATAATATAGTTGTTCATCTAAAATACAAATTTAAATTAATTTTATTCATTGAATTTTATTTCTTTTACAGCTACTACGCCTCTACGGCGTTTGCAAACCCGGTGCGCTTGTCACCGCAAGTGAAGCGCCCGCGCCTGATGTCAGGTGGACACCAGAGTCGCACTGCGATTCCAACAAAACAACAACAGCAAGCATGGGCCCCCATCGCACAGCACAGATGCCAGAGCCCTCCGAGACCATCTTCTTTAGCACACCAATTTAAAATATATAGTAAGTAGGAAAAACATAAAAATTATCATATTTGCAAAAATTGTAGTAATGGATTCATTACATGGAGATGGGACCGTATGTGTTGCCATTCATAAAAAACCAAGTGGTTTAAGAAGTCAACTTGACAGCCTATAGGACTCGTTAGGTTCTGATAGCTATTATTAATCATGTATATACAAAAATTTTATATTTATTTATAAAAATATGCAAAAGTTCGACTCTATCCCGATATAGTAAAAATTATACCAGTGAAATTGTAGAGAGCACAAAGCTTGTAACGGGGACGTAAGACTTAGATTTATAGCTAACTGAACTCGATTCTCGGAATAAAGTATGTGCTGTTCTTTACATTCTGTTCCTTTTTTCCTGTCCAACGTAGAAAATGCTCTAATAGAAACGTAGACCCGCTCATACAGGTGTGTCCAGATCAGCTTTCGGCGACTTTGGACATCCAAAGAAAAATGCTTCATTTTTCTCAATTATAATGATTAACATGTTGAGATTACTAGACTTGAGTATTTGAAATAAATTTTATATTTTTGAAAAAAATAATACAATTCATCAAAATAGCAATAAATAGCACAACACTTACTATAACATTTTATCTGGTGCAACAAATTATAACACATATAATATTTTGTGATTCAAACCTTAAAATTCACAATATTCTATAATTTTTAGCTAAATATTAATACCAAAATGGTTTCAGGTAATCCTGATATATTAATCTGTGGAAACTGCCGTGAGATGTTCACTGAACTCCTTGATCTCTTACAACACAAAAAGTCGTATTGCAAGTTACGTTTTACATGTAAATGCAGACCACAGGGAGATGAATATAATAGTAAGTATATTAAATAATGATTTAAAAAATAATTCGAGATAATCAAGAGAATATAGAATCTGAAATATAGTTTTTATGACCCGGTTGAGAGTACTTACCCATTAATATTTTTATGGCGTTATCGCTAATAATTGATTTCTTAGCATATTCTAGAAAATTTAATATTATCTAGTTATAAACATTCAGAATTGTTTAAAATATTGCATTTTTTGCATGTTATTATAGTTAAATAATTTTGAACAAAGAAATGTAGGTTTTTGTTTATAATTTACTCAATTATTACTACATTTACTACATTTGCTTTTACATATTATATTACTAATAAAAAGAAATATTTCCCAATAGATGCTCTATCTCAATATTCGTATTCTAACATTGTTATTGACGATATTGATTCGTAACTTTACATTGTCAGCTTTTATTAAAATCGGTGACAAGAGACATATAAATTAGTCTTGTTAATACAGAAAAAAGTCACAGATAAAAATTCACTTCATTTGCAAGAATGACAATGTTATTTTTCAATAACATCTCTATAACGAATGAATTTATACATCATGATGTAAAACGATAACAGACACCTGGGAACACTCTTTCATATGACAAAGTTTTTCCGGACTGGCGCGATATCCTGTCAATTTGCTTTATAAATGTGTTTTGGTGGAGCTTTTTCTCTATTTCAGAATAAATTGTTATAATATAATCATGATCATTATTTCAGTCATATGCAAAATAAATATATTAGATATTGTATTTGGTTTCATCTCTGATGTTTCATTCCAAATGCTTCGACGTTAAATGAAAATTGTTTTGTTTCTTATTTACGGAAAAGACATGTATTATCATTAAATATTATTATTTTTTTTGCAGAATTTTGTTTTATGTATCTTTCAGGTATAAAAGCGAATAGTTTCTAATAAAAATTATTCAACTATTTATTAATTTAGGTGGTGCAGACCTTTTGTGTGTCATTTGCAAAGACCACTTCAGCAGCGCTTGGGAACTAATGGTCCACGTGCAGGCTGCACATCTTGTTAACATCTACGAACTTGCTGCTCCTGATACTGCGCCGCCTTCTGAATGTGCAGAGGTAAGTGATATTATTTTTTTACTTCAATAATATTTTATTTTAATTTTTTAACAACAATATTTGAAAAGAGAGGGAAAAAGATGTATAACCAGTCATCACCTTATGACGTTGCCATCAGAAGATAGCATTGTTTGAAAATCCATAATTATTTTCTTTTGTTGTTAGTTTTTTTTGGTTGTGAGACTTTATTACGAGACCTTAAGATAATTCAAAGCACACGCTATTTTATTATTTTATATTTTGTGTTGTTAATTTTACGTTCGATTCGTCGAACGTCTAATTTACATTTGTATAACGTCTATAAAGGCATACACGTGGGTGGGCTAAAAAGGAAGAACTGAACCTTTACACTGGCAAAGGTGTAAACAATACAGAATGGTAAATAAAAAGGCAAATTAAATTTAAAAAGTGCAATGTTATAAGAGATAAATAAGTTAAATAAATATTTATGTCTACTCTGCTGATAAATATTTCTGACGAAATATCACAAGAAGTTTGTATATAGTGTTATCTCTGTAAAGAAAGTACCCATAAAATTTATATTTTGCATTCGTTGAATAATGTAGCTATTACTTAATAAAAAAGTTTTTTTTTATAATTTTATTTGAACAGCGATCAGAACTTATGGGTTCTATGAACTGTTGTGATTAATATCTTACAAACTACGTTTGTTTTATTACAGATGGCAACCCAAACAGTTGTCACATCTCTGTATGATAATTTTTTTATTACAATCTCTGTAATAGGGCAAGTATGGTGCAACAATGCCGGGTGAGGGCTATTTTCACTTGGAAACATATTGCTATTTATATTTCCAAGTAAAAATCGTTGTCACTGTTGCCTGACAACAGGCTGCTCGAAGTGGGTATTGAACCCGGGACCTCTGAAACAAGTCCCATCGCTCTTAACCGCTTACCTACGGGCGAGCCCAAAAAAAAAAGTTTTAAATATTAAAATAAGACATCGGGCCTGTTTTCCCCGCCTAAGGGGAAGAAGGATTAATTTTTTGGAAAACTGCAAAACATCACATTTCTACAATGATGAATTAGCTGGGAGTTTTACTGGACATAGTCAGATAGTTGTTTGTTTGATATATGTTATTTGTTGTGATATAATTGGATTAGCTTTTACAATTGCTTACAGTCATATTGAATTTTTTCCGACCTACCCTACAATAGCTTCAAACTGCGAATTTTTGTGCCAAATATTTTATAATACAAAAATCTATCTAAGCTACATGTCCCTACCCAGGGGCGTAACTACCGCCGTATCAGCCGTATCAATGATACGGGGCCCCCGGTCCCAGGGGGCCCCCAACGAGCGTTAACAGAAATTGAGAAAAACTTTTTATTTATTTCACAAACGACAAAGTCAAAAAAATTAATTTCTTTTTATTGTCGGGACAACTTACATCGATTGTCGGCATGTTTGGCCTACGGAGTTTCCCCGTTTATCCCTCAATAATCAATGTAAAACCCTCAATAAACAATGTACAGTTATGCGTACCCAAAATACAATGATATGTTGACAAGCGACGAACGAACGGCAGGGATTTCTTTTAATAAGTAATATTTTTTCCAACTGACTCAAAATGGACAAGAAGTACAACATTTGGTACAGAACTAAAGACGTTAGAAAAAATACAATCATATGATAATTGCCAGAGTTAGTCGAAGGGTTTATATATTGAAAGACAGCGGGGGTTATTTACATATTTCAGTGATTGTGAATTATTTTGTATTACAATACAAACCACTAGTGTTTTGGTTTAGTGATGATTTGTAGAAAAGTGTTAGTGGTGATTTAAAGAAAACAATGAGTAAAAAGAAAACGAAAAATTAAACAGAAAAAAGATGAAGTCATAAAAAATGCCAAAAATTTCTTAAATCGAAAAAATATACACGTTTTTTGGCAATAGCATACAATAACGCTGGTCAATGCTAAATCAAGATTCTTCCGAGGAATATTTAGTAACACTTAAAAGGGTATGCCCTACCAGATGGTTTTCAAGGAACGACGCCTTATTAGCAATAAGCAAAAACTATTTATTAATAGTGAAAATTCTGTATAAATTAAATTTAATTTCTAAAAAAAAGATGAACGTGAAGAATGTAAGAATTTAATTAACCTTTTAGAAAGCTATGATATTTTAGTGCTCGTAACATTTTTTTCTTTATTGTTTCAAATTATTAATCCAATTTCGAAAGCTCTACAGGATGTGAGTAATGACTTACAACGAACTAGCATACTATTAGGAAATCTTTTAAAGAGTCTGCGCGAATTGAGGCATAAAAATTCATTCCTTATTTTGTTAAGGAATACTAAGGATTTAGCAAAGAATTGAAATATAAAAACAATTTTTAAAAACAAGAGGCGGAAGATAACAAAGCGATTTTTCGATGAGTTATCACAAGACGAGAGAATTTTAGACCCTGAATCATATTTTAAAGTAAACGTGTACTATTGCTGTTTAGATATTTTAATTTCTCAAACAAAACAAAGGTTTCAAAACCTTTGTGACGTAAATAGTATGTTCAGAATATTGCAACCGGAAAAACTCACGTCTTCTTCAAATGAAGAAATAATAATTGCTTCCGGAAAACTGACGACAAAATACTGCAAAGATCTATCAGGTAATCTTTGCGATCAATTGATAGCTCTAAAAGCATGCTTAAAATTAGAAATCGAAAATATTCATTCTATTAAAGAACTCGCTGAATTATTATTAATAAAATGTAATAGTATTGCATCCAGTTTTCCGGATGTAATAACAGCTTGCATTTTATTCTTGACCCTTCCAGTTACAGCCGCAACTGCTGAAAGGAGTTTTTCAAAATTAAAATTAATCAAAAATTACCTCAGAACATCAATAAAACAGGAACGTCTATCAGACATGTCTCTATTGTCCATAGAGGCAGAAACATTAGAAAAAATAAAAACATCATCAGCTATAAATGACTTAATAAATCAGTTTGCTGATAAAAAGGCAAGGAGAGTGAATATTTAATTATAGTTACTTGTAAAATATTAAAAATAATATTCGACGTATATTTGAAAATTTGATAAATAAATGTTCTTTTAATTTTCTTAAATGAATTTATTAATCTTTTTATGTTTCTTTGAATTATGAAAAATCTTTAGGGGGGGCCCCAAACCGATTTTGATACGGGGCCCCGCCAAGGCACGTTACGCCCCTGTCCCTACCCCTAGCACTCAAGTCTTTTCTCATAGAATATATAGGATTTTTCTTAAATGAAATGATTAAAAGTTATATTAATAAATGGCAACTATTTGAAACATTTAACTTAATGTGACGTGAATCATAGCATTAACAGTCTAATTACTGAATTAATATTAATCACATCTTATATATTATTTCTAAGTAATAGCTACCATTATCGCTATTATACATAGCAATATACATAGTCGATGTACTCGTAAAATATAATGGGTAAAATTAGTCATTTTTTGCCCTATTCCTCTTGTTAACTCTTATCGGTACTTGTAATCCGAAGAGGCATAATTTGCGGACTAATTGTCACGTACTACCATGCCCACATGCCGCAAGAAGTCTGGATTTGCCAAGATCGCGCAGCGGGTCCACAAATTTCGCCGCGCAACCGGTTGATAACAACGGCACACAAAGGGAACGAGGCGGCGGTTTTATCGCACTAGAAACGCTGCCTAGGACCAAAAGACGGTTGCAAAGCATCACAAATAACCGCCATATGTGGTGTCGTCGCTCATACGACCGCCATATGCATTCATGAAAACGACATCACTATGACAACTACTCGACCGAAAGTGCATTTACCGATCCCGTTTATAACTAGGTGGTCTGAATTTTGATGGACGGTATATCGCTGCATTTCCAGTTGATGGCTTTAGCCGATTATTATGACTTTTGCTGAATTTTATACGAGCGTCATTTTGAAATATTTTTTTGAAAATCTATTTTTTATATAAAACACCCATAAACTTCAGCAGATAAAAAATTATAAACAAAATAAAATATAGCGTTGGTATAAATTATTTAGTTTGAAATAAAATACATCTCTATTCTACATCAATATTGATTACCAACTCAGAAATTAAATACTTATATTGAGAAATCGGTTTTACACTTTATTTTTACGTTGTACAAGATTTGCCGAAATGATTTTGTTTAATTTTGAATGTATATAAAATACCCCAGGAAAGATCAATATAGAATTTTTTATTTTTGTAGCTCGTTAATGCAGATTTTTTTCTTTTTTTTAATTACAATATTTAATACAACTTTAAATAATTCAACATCTAGTGATAATAATAAACAATAACATAAATTTAAATAAATAAGAGTACAAAGGATAGAATTACATTAAGATGATATCCGTAGTATGATGATTTAATATAAAATGAAAGCAAATAATAATAAAAATAAAATTAATAAATAAAATAAATAAAAAAGTGGAATTAAAACAATAAGTGCTAGATAATAATAAATATCACAAAATAACAATATTAGAAATAATGAGATAATAATAAATAATGTAATAATGATAATAATAATAATAATAATAATGATAATATTAAATTACGCGTTTACAAATGGCTATTTATGAGATCATTGAGAATTTTTCGTTTTAGCCTGGTTGGGCGCGCTTCTGAGAATAGAATTAATTTAACGTAGATGATTAATTCATAAAGTTTTTTTTGTACAAGTTTTGACTTAGAAATCTTTCACAATATACTTAAATATAATCAAAAACCAATAAAATTACATATAATTTATTATCACGTTCGTGGACGTGAGTGTTATAGCATTCATTTACATTGTGGTGCTAATGACATAAATTTATTGCATTCATGTCATTGTGCACCACAATGTAACACATTGAAATTTGAAGTCAATTATTTTGAATTTAACTTTATATAATTTTACGTTTATATAATTATTATAACTGATTCTTTGGGTATTTTCGTATTATCTTACCTTTTCCCATAGTCACTAATATGCT